AAATGACATTGCATCACATGCGACTAAGGAATTCTAGACGCAGTGAGATGATTGGGAGTTTGGGGCAGGCACACACTATAAATCAAATACAATATCATTCAGTAGGAACAGAGAGAACAGAATGCTCAGATCCATTATGAGGATAGAAGGTAGAGATCAAACTTGAATTGTAGATAATATTTAACATGATGAGCAGTTGAGCAAAAAAATGAGCATTAGGACGGATAAATATTTTGTTTCTTTCATACTGCTAATTAAAGGTTGATGACCCAAATCATCATAGAGGCCGGTAGGTACTTTCATCTATATTACTCAGCAGTTACCATAGTGTTTCTGCATAAACCACAAGCCTCTTCACATTCTAGCTCCTTAAGAAATCACTACAGATCTCCATGTTTCTAACTTTTAGGCTTTGTGAACAACTTGATCTTCTGGGAGAAAACTAGTACTTTTATCAAAAGCATCATGAACAGAACATGAAAACATATCCAAGGAAACAAACCATATACATTCTCAGCTAATACTGACAAATAAGAACTATGAGAAAATGATAATTGAAGAAAGCAACAACAAATATNTAGCTTTTGTTGTGTTGCAGCGCCTACCTTTTACATAATGAGCCTGTGCAAGAGAAGTGCAATCAGTTGAAACATTGCAGACAAATGACATTGCATCACATGCGACTAAGGAATTCTAGACGCAGTGAGATGATTGGGAGTTTGGAGCAGGCACACACTACAGATCAAATACATCATTCAGTAGGAACAGAGAGAACAGAATGCTCAGATCCATTGTGAGGATAGAAGGTAGAGATCAAACTTGAATTGCAGATAATATTTAACATGATGAGCAGTTGAGCAAAAAAATGAGCATTAGGACGGATAAATATTTTGTTTCTTTCATACTGCTAATTAAAGGTTGATGGCCTAAATCATCATAGAGGCCGGTAGGTACTTTCATCTATATTACTCAGCAGTTACCATAGTGTTTCTGCATAAATCACAAGACTCTTCACATTCTAGCTCCTTAAGAAATCACTACAGATCTCCATGTTTCTAACTTTTAGGCTTTGTGAACAACTTGATCTTCTGGGAGAAAACTAGTACTTTTATCAAAAGCATCATGAACAGAACATGAAAACATATCCAAGGAAACAAACCATATACATTCTCAGCTAATACTGACAAATAAGAACTATGAGAAAATGATAATTGAAGAAAGCAACAACAAATATAAGTGTGCATGATATGTGAATGAATGACCTACCTCATCCAAGATGATGCGATCCCACTTTACTGTATGCAAAATCGACTTCTTCCGTGACAAATCTTAGGATACACTTGCTGAATTGTTAATAGAACCATCATTCTTCCCTTCTTCTGTCATGCTACTACGCTTCATGCTCTTCCTATGACCTGCTTTCTGCATATCAGTCTCTGACTCAATAGAATCGGCTTTCTGCACATTAGCCTCTAACTCCGTAGAATCTGTTTTCTGCATATTAGTTGCTGACTCCATAGAATCTGTTTCCTGCTTCAACAATTCTACCCCAAGTTTTAACTTCTTCCTCTTCTGCTTTGGCTGATTGGAATTTTTAACAGAATCAGGTCCACACTTCTTCTGGTGAATGGAAAACTTTTCTTCAAAATAAGATTTTCCACACCACTGACACTTCTGTTTTGGCGGCATCACATTTTTCCTATATTCAGCCTCAACAATGGAGTAAGTAGTGATGACAAAATCATATTCCTCAATATTGTGGATATGCTTCCTTTTGTTGCCATGATAAACAAGAATCTTGTTGCTTCCTTCAGCGGCGCATCGATTGATCTCATTAACCCACTGAATGGCAGCAACCACAGGACATATGATAAGAGTGCCTTTTACTGCTGGGAGTTCCTGTGTTGTACTGAGTGAAGATGACAATAAGCCGGATTCACTAATTGCTTTCCCTAATTCCCGTTTAGCAAGCACAAGTGCTATCGCTTGGATAGTTTTCCCCATCCCCATCTCATCAGCAAGAATACCCCCTTTGGTCGAAGATTCTTCTTGCTTGAGTGACCAAAACAACCACTCCTTCTGGTACCTAAACAGTGGCACAATCATACTTGATGGTGGCTCCGCTGTTTCACAAAGTAACTCATTCTGATTATCTAAGTCAAAATCATTGGGATAATGTTCTGCAAGCCATTTGTCATTCTCTTCTTCCCATTTCTCCCACATTAAAGTTGGTCTAACAACTTGGTTGCGTATCAGCCTCTTAGCGCGGTCGAATTTCCTTTCCCTTATTCTTTCCATCAATGCAAGATATTCGCTATCTTGATCAGTAACTCCATTCGTTTGTTCTTCTTTCACCATGTTGAAATCTTCTGCTGCATGGACTAATTAATCAGAACAGATACATTATATGACTAAACAACGAAATCATTTTTGTCATGTTTACACAGTATATGGAGAAGGGGAACCAAGATTTGAAGCTTATGAGCTTAGAATTCTAACAACTTTAAGTTATTAGATTCTAAATTAATAATGTGTACACGGTATATGGAGAAGTGGAACCAAGATTTGAAGCTTATGAGCTTAGAATTTTAACAACTTTAAGTTACTGGATTCTAAATTAATAATGTGTATATATTCAATAAATTTGTTAAGACAACTACATGCTTGAACCACGGTTCGGCCGAACCCGTAAGCTCCGCCCTTGCCCCGAAAAGAAAAAAACAGCCAGATAACAGTCTATACATTATTGCAAAAAAATTGTACAGTAAGTACTAAGTAGCATACGCGCCTATGGAATACCTTCATTACTTGAGGTTGCGTTGTGCTTCGAATCTGAAGACATAGCACGATGATCATACTCGTTGGAGCTCTCCCTGTATTGGGTACTTTGATCACCTAATGTTTTTCCAAGGGTGAAGTGGAAAAACATCAAAACCTTAGATATAGGTGCATGAAAACATATTTATGTTATAGAAAAAGTTCATCTCACAGAAAAAATTCCCACACTTCCTCTCAATCGGACAATCGCTGTATGAAACCAATTTGGATAAGCAATAAAAGCTGGGAAACACAAAAATTATAGTCAAAACGAACTAGTACTACTATGTTTCAATCTTAAATTAACTTTTGCGCAGAAAACAAAAGGGTATAACACATGAAAATAAGCAAAATAGAATTACAAAGAGAATGATCGAGTGAATGTTTACCGAAAACGAAGAATGCTGAGACGGAAGCTCCATTCTGAGCACTGAGCAGCAGTTTTTTGTTTCTCTTTCTCTAAACAGAGAGAAAGGGAGAGAGACGGTGAGGAGGAGGAGGAAACTGAGAAGTTGAGAAAGCGGGAAAGTCTTTTATAGGGAGGAGAGAGAGATTTTGATAATGCCAATCGTTTTTTGCTAGTGACAGAGGGTACACCATCTTATGCCTGATGTATAAGCTGAAATACCATACAATGTCCGTACACGTCGATTTCGTGCTGAAGAAGCTTTGCGTGGCAGCATAGTGGGACCCAATTAGAACTGTAAAAATGTGGTCCTCTCTGCTTGTTGGTTACTTGTACTGAGGAGAATAAAGATCTACCATCGTGAGACCTGTATAGTATTTATTTTTTGGTACATTGAAAAAATTAAGTAAATTTTTTAAAATCTTTCATAAATTACACTGCTTAAATAAATAAAAATTCCTTAGTTGCATCCAGAGGCGGATCTAGGATTTAATGGTTACGGGTGCCATTCAGGGGCGAATGCACATTTATCGAAGCCGTGTCAGGCGACACCGCTTCGTGAATTCTTTTGCTAAATATATGTATTAATACTGCGAGGAAGCGGATAAGTAGGAAAAAATGACATCACTTGACATAATTTGTCTCTTGGTATATTGGTTATGTGCTCGATTTTGCTCTAAGAGGTCAGGTTCAAACCTCAACTAGCATCTCTTTTTTTCTTTTTGCAAATATTTGAGACAATCTATGCGGTTAAAAATTGTAAATAAAGTAGAATTTAATTCAGGACTTTTCTGACTTAAGACTCAACAAAATCAATAGACTAAAGTTATTTCTTGTCTAGAAGTATGATAATTAAAGTTATTATTCCCGTTCTTTTATAAATTTTGACATCGCTTATAAGAAATTGGTGAATGTCCCTGGTGCCACTGCTTTTAATGCAAACCAGCGATAGTGAAAAGATTGAACTTGGGTGTACATTAAGTCGGTTCGATCCATTTTTGATTAATTCGGTTCGGTTCCGTCCATTTTGAATTAATTCAATTCAATTTAAAAGATTATTTTATGCATAAATGAATATGTGATCACAAAATCGAATAAGTTCTATCCAATTCGCTCTAATTCTCTAGGTTCAAATTTGATTAATATGATTAAAAAATATAAAGAAAAATAAAATTTTAAATTAGGAAATACATCACTTCAATCTACGTACAGCTCGATTAATATTATGTCTTTGATGCATCACTCTAGTTTACAACAACAACAAAAACAACAACCTAGTATAATCCCACTAGAGGGGTCTAGGGTAGTGTGTACGCAGACCTTAGCATCACTCTAGTTTCTAAAATTAATAAAATAACATTAGATGGATAAAAAGAGAAAATGATTAAAATCACATTCAAATAAAATGAAGATCTAGAAAAAGAAAAAGGAAGCAAATATACAATTTAAATAAATAATAAAAAGGAGATTGTACAAAATAGAGTAAATAACAGAGGTGAAGAAATTAAAAGAATTTAAAAGGAGCATAAAAGAAAGAAGATAACAGCAAAACAACTAGGACTTCAACAGAGTCTCGATCTTGGGTATTTCAGGTGGAATTTCAATGCTTTAACCATGGCACCTACAATCATTTTGTTACTTAGGGTGCCACTCTTTATATATGTTCAATAATGTGAGGAAAATACTAGTACATATGTACGATTTTACTCGAGCGACCGGGTGGCGTACCACCCCCAAGCCCCTACATAGATCCGCCCCTGGTTGCATCCTTTTATACTAGCAGTTTATTTTATTCTGTGACCATACCGCATATGCATATTGTATACGGATAAAACCGAGCTCGATATTCGATCGAGCTTCTGAACTCCCTGATTAGGCAAGGGTCGGAATATCTGTGATCGGGTGGAGTCGAGCTCGAAGATCGATCTGACGTCTAATACCATCAGCCAAGATCGGCAGNTAACACCATCAGCCAAGATCGGCACATGGTGATTACGATAGAACCCAAAACATTGTCATAGTTAGCCATCGAAACCATCAGATTTGCCCTCGAGTTTACCGAAGGCGTAACCGGTCCTGTTTCTAACAGTCTCGAATAAAGCTTTGCCAACTCATCCGACAGGGGTCCTAATTCTCGCCATTAACCAACCATTATGGCAGAAATCACGGAACGAGTCAACGAGAGACCAACGGTCAGCAAATCGGGGCCCCTTCGGAGTCTGTTTATCTAGTCAGAACCCTCGACAGAGTCAAGAGAGACATCGATCGTGAATCAAGATCAAACAAGGATCGATATCTGCCATATAATGGAGATCGGAGGAGCAGTGGGTCCGGGCGGAACCCCATAAGAAACGAAAGGAGAAATGACCAAGGTCGAAGCAACCAGGGGCTCATGACCAAAAATAGCTTCGACATGTCCATCGGGCCTAAAGAAGCGCCGAGGCTATCGGAATACAACTTTAATGTCGATGTTGCCGCCATCGTATCAACTATCGGGCGCATCAAGGATACCAAATGGCCTCGATCTCTACAATCTGATCCAGCTCAAAGGGATCCTAACTAGATGTGCAAATATCATGGGACTCACGGTCATAGAATGGAAAATTGTCGACAACTAAGAGAAGAAGTAGCTCGATTATTCAACAATGGGCACCTTCGAGAATTATTGAGCGACGGAACCAAGAATCATTTCAGGAACAAAGATTCTAACAAACAGACAGAACAAGAAGATACCGAACCTCAACACGCCATTAATATGATCATCGGTGGAGTCGATATCCCACAGGGGCCGATGTTGAAACGCACCAAAATATCCATCACTAGGGAGAAACGAACTCGAGACTACATACCGGAAGGAATTTTATCTTTCAGTGATGAGGATGCGGAACGGATCGTACAACCTCATAATGATGCACTGGTAATATCTGTACTCATAAATAAAACTCGAATTAAACGTGTGTTGATTGATCCAGGTAGCTCGGCCAACATCATTCAGTCTAGGGTCGTGGAGCAGCTCGGTCTACAAGACAAAATCGTGCCTACAGTCCGAGTTCTAAATAGGTTCAACATGGCATGTGAAACCACCAAGGGAGAGATAATGTTACCGGTCAATACCACCGAAATCATATGAGAGGCCAAGTTTTATGTGATCGAAGGAGACATATGGTACAACGCCTATCTCGGAAGGCCATGGATCCACAATATGAGGGCAGTTCCCTCAACTCTTCACCAGGTGTTAAAATTCCCAACTCTTGGGGGATTAAGACAATCTACGGGGAACAACCGGTTGCAAAAGAGATGTTTGCAGTTGAAGAAGTGATTCCAATATCAACGCTCGCAACATCGAAGGAACCAAATTCGGGCGCAAACCAAGAGGCCAAATAGTAGTCATCGATACCGGCCGCGACCCAACCAGATAAGCAGAGAACTTATGAAGATGATGATTACGGCCCTATCTTTTATAATTACCGACGACTCTGACGCAACCAAATTGACGGTCGAAGAGCTGGAGCAGGTTATATTGATCGAACATCTACCCGATCGGAAGGTATACCTGGGCATGGAGTTAACTCCCAAGCTCAGGAAAAAACTTATTCAATTTCTTGTAGCTAATATAAATTGTTTCGCTTGGTCCTATCTTGATATGACAAGGATCCCACCGGAGATAACCACTCACAAGCTAAGCATGAACCCAAAAATCAATCCGGTCAAGCAGAAGAGGAGGCCCCAGCCCGAGGTCAAACATGCTTTCATCAAGGACGATGTATCTAAACTCCTTAAAATAGGGTCCATTTGGGAGATTAAATACCCGAATTGGTTAGCAAATGTAGTGGTAGTCCATAAAAAGGGGGACAAATCAAGAATGTGAGTAGATTATAAGGATCTGAACAAAGCAGTTCCCAAGGATTCTTTCCCTCTGCCCAACATTGATCGCATGATCGATGTCACGACCGGCCATGAGACCCTCAGTTTTCTCGATGCCTATTCCGGATACAACCAGATACGGATGGACCTGGATGATCAGGAATAAACCTCCTTCATCACTAAGTACGACACGCACTGCTATAACATGATGCCATTCGAATTAAAAAAATGTCGGTGTCACTTATCAATGACTAGTAAACCGGATGTTTGAAGAAAAAATAGGAAAATCGATGGAGGTTTACATTGACGATATGTTGGTTAAGTCCCTGCAAGTAGAGGACCATTTAAAATATTTGAAGAAAACCTTCAGCATATTGAAAAAGTACAATATGAAGCTGAACCCGAAAAAATATGTGTTCGGAGTTGGATCACGTAAATTCCTCGGGTTCATAGTATACAATCGAGGAATCGAGATTAATGCCGACAAGATCAAATCCATCAAAAATATCACGTTCGTGGACAACGTAAAGGCTGTGCAAAGGCTAACCAGGTGCATAGCCGCCCTAGGGCGATTTATTTCAAGGTCGTCCGATAAAAGCCACCGATTCTTCGCACTATTGAAAAAGAAGAATAACTTTTCATGGACTTCGGAATGCCAACGAGCTTTGGAGGAGCTAAAGAGATACTTATCGATCCCGCCGCTGCTTCACACACTAAAGACAGACGAACAACTATACTTGTATTTGGCGGTCTCGGAGATAGCGGTAAGTGGAGTCCTGGTTCGGAAA